GAACAAGATCCACCCAAAACCCCGATTTCCCATTATTTCTGACAAAATGCTAAATATCAAAGATTTATGAATTTCAAATTATCGAGCAAGAGAATCCTTTAAATAAATATAATTTCTTAAGTTTAAATGGAGAAAAAGGTTTCCCTCAAATCACTTTCCAAATTTGCACTTTCAAATGTGGCTTTGTTCCTCCCAATAAAAACAGCTTTTCAGGTGAGATAAGTGAATAAAACTTTCGATGAAGCTGTTTATATTGGAATTAACTGTCTATATTATGATATTCAAGATTAAGCTGCAAGGTTTGAATATATAATGGAGACCCAGTTTGATTCTGATACAAGATCTGAACATAAAACATTGAGAGCGAATGAACTACTTATTAATCAAGTTCTTCAGCAATCAATTTAAAATGCAGGTTAAGGAGATAACTTGTTTAAGAACTTTAAGGAGTTATCTTATCTAAAAAAGCCAAACCATTTAATTGAAAAACCTATCATAGCAGTGCTAATTCTGTTAAATAAGTGCCCTAAGATTAAAGCAGAAGTGGATTTCATGAAAAAAGAAGATATTGATGAAATCTGGGTCAAGATTAGAGATAACTTGAAGAATAAGTAATTTTTGAACTAATTGAAAGAATTTGACATTAGAACTATATCTGATCCCCAGATCAAATAAATCCAATCTCTATTTGCAAACGACCCATGGATGACTGTGTCTTGGATTCGGAGAGAATCTGTATTTGCCCTTAACCTATTTATCTGGGTTGCCAAGATTATTGAGTATATTTAAGTTGCTGCTAAACTAAGTAAATTAGGAGTTAAGGTTATTGAAGAAAAAAGAGATTAATGCTTAAAAATTAAATCTGATCTAGATAAAATAAAAGAAATGAAAGAAATATTTATGAAAATTAAGGATCCCTAGCATCAGACAGAGAAGAAATCTTTGAAAAATGGGCATAAAAAAAGCAAGAGTATTAGTTAAGATGCTGCTAACTCTTCAAAAACACCTAAAAATTGATTGAATACTATGTTCAGAGTTTGATATAAGAATTTGAGAATTAACTAAATTTGACTGCTTTACTGATTAATCATTTAACGATAAAATTTCTCCCAAATAATTTAAAATGCTTTAGATCTATAATTTCCAATATTTAAAATTAATAAGAAGTTTATTTAGTTAACATTTCTATCAAAATTTACTTGATAATGTACTCTAGGGGTTTTGGGGTTTTGGGGTTTTGGGG